TGGATTTATTTTTATTTTTATTTTTTATTTTTGAGACCAAGTCTCACTCTGTTGCCCAAGCTGGAGTGCAGTGGCACAGTCTCGGCTCACTGCAACCTCTACCTCCCAGGTTCAAATTATTCTCCTGCCTCAGCCTCCCGAGTAGCTGGGATTACAGGCGCCCACCACCACACCCAGCTAGTTTTTTGGTAGAGATAGGGTTTCACCATGTTAGCCAGGCTGGTCACGAACTCCTAGGATGGATTTTTAAGACTAAAATTTTAGATTGCGATCAAACAGAAGAGGCTTGGACATGTGACATTAAATAGCTATGTTTGTTTTGCCAGTTGAAACTTGTTTCTTTTTCTAGTTAAAACAATGACTTAGAGGTTATTTTGAGGACACTTTGGAGATTATGCTACAGGAATGTTAAGAGAGCAAATTTTGAGTGTGATTGCCCATTTGGACTTAATTCTGGCAACTGATTTTGCGGGAAAATGTCTATCATTCGTTGATTATCTGTTATTTTTACCTGGACTTTATTTAAGCTTTATTAAGTTGCTAAACCCTATTTGGATGCTAGTGATAGTAGACCATCAAATACAGCCCAAACTTCTTGTTCCTGATCCACACGAAGGTCAGAGAAGCAATGCTGCTTTTTCTGATAGCTGGTAGCACCAGCAGGCACGTTGTGTACTCCAAGCAAGAATATACTCTTTTTTAAATACTTTTGAAGACCACTGAAAATGGATCATTTATCCTTTTTTATTTTTTTGAGAAGGAAGGGATGACCTGCTATTCACAGAGTAATGCAGTTTGCTGAAAAGGTTGGTTTTTGCTGACCCCTGAGAGCTCACATTACAGTGGAGTGTGTTATTGGAAGGTGGGCCAGTTTATACAGAGGTTGGGAATTACTTTTCTCTAGTTTTGAAATGGTTATGCACTTTCTAATCTAGATATAGAAATTTACTTACTATTTACTTAGATGTAGAAATAAAGTTTCTTTTTTTACATTCCCCTGAGTATATGGTATTGTAGGTATACAATAAATTTGACAAGTTTTATTTCTGTACTAGGATCTACTCATAACACTTCTGTCCTAAATTTGTATCAAAAGGAAGCCTTTGCTGGCTTGATAATAAACACAGACGAAGTCCAGATTCCACAGCCTAGTGATCAAGGAAAAGTCAGGAATCATATTTAGCTACGAGTAATGTGACACAAAGAACAGTGCCCTAAATTGCTAGGATGGTGATTTAGGGTTAATATTATGACTTCTTGCTCTACCCTCTTTCCATTCTCAAGATTGTCTCATGGTCATAAAGAGGCCACTGTGGTTCAGTCATGACATGCACATTCTAGGCGAGAGCACAGAACAAGCCATGTTTTTCAGCCCTCTTTTTACACAGCATTCCAAAGCCCCACCCCATCACTTCTGCTTTCATCCCATTTAGCCAGAATTTAGTCATTTGGCTGTCCATATCTGCCAAGGAGAATAGAGAATATAGTTTTCCATTACTAACTCATCCCCCACTCAAAAAAATAAAAATGTTAAAAGCCATTCTATATTAAAGCAGAAGGGAAAGAGATATTGGTAAGAATGCAGCTGGCCTTTTATGATCTGTCCCGGCCTTTCTTTTGATCTCATCTGCTGTTTTAAGCACTTTACACTGTAGCCCCACGAGAACACTTTGCACTCACTAAGAAGCAGTCCCCTTTACTGCCCCCCCCACTTTGCTTATATTCTGAAAGTCTTTTGTCTCCTATTCCACTGCTCTTACCTCTAACACACTGCCTCTAACGCACTGACCTGCCGTTGTAGTTATTACACACCCTCCTTGGTTCTTTCACCTCTCTGTCAAAGCCCTTGTTGTGGTTTAGCTGAGATATTTTAGTTCTACAGCTAATTTTTCATACCCTCTGTGACTCTCTAATCCCCCACCACACTTGCCTACTATAATACATTATATATAACAAATGATTGATGCATATTTATTGAATTCCATTCCAGACGTAATGCCAGCAAGATAACTTTGTGCTATAAAGGAGAAAATCTTTTTGTGCAACAGTTTCCAAAGGGTTTTCTTTTTCTAAGAATAAAGAAATTGACTATATCAACTTTAGAAGTATCCTACCGCATTTAATAGCCATTGGCTAATCTAAGGGTTCTTGGTTACTTCACTGAATAGCCTATCAGATGGAACTGCAAACAACAGTTTGTTTTGAAATAGGATTCCCTAAACATGGAAGAAACATTAACAGTCTTGGCCTGTTGGAATGTGTGCATTTGATGTGCCCAAGATTAGGGCACTCTGCTTGAGAACAAATAACAAAAAGGGGAGAGGAAACAATAAAAACTTTGTTCCTATAAAGCACCTGAAAGTACTACAAATTGATGGTTATCAAGCTGGTTGGGGGTCCAAAGGCTACAGCCTGGGAGCCTCAAATTTAATTGTTTTATAAAGTGTAGTAAATAAATTTTTTTGTATTTTTAAGTGGTGTTTTTAAAACTACTTTTTCATGCTTTGAGAGAGTTTTCCAAATTCCAATTATTTTAAGGGGTTATTTCCTGGACTTGCACTTAATGATTTTGAGACATTTACATTTTTTTCAATATGGCATTCTGTGTGCCTCAGTGATACATGGTTATTCAGGTTGCATGAATATACATATATATGTAGATTTATGGAACATTATCTTTTTAGATTAACAATAATTTTTTAAGCTGATATTTCTTGGTGATAGAGCCTAGAAATTACGTAGAGTGGCTTACTTCTGGGACTTGTTTTAAACTGCACATAAACCATCCGCCAAGTGTACAGTTGGCTAAAGAGTAATATTAGAAAGGTCCTCCTGGACAGTTTATTTCATTTCACAGATATGAACACAATTGTTTCCCTTTGAATTTAATGCCATGTTTAAAATCAGATTTTAAGAATTTTCCAAGGGCATTTCCCTATCGTTTACACTCTCCTCGTCTTTTCTTTCTGCAGTCTTTTGTATTAAATACCTCCTACACAGCACTGTCTAAGGATTTGTGGTGGTACAGGGTCCAGTTGGGATGACAAACAGGCAAGGAAGACCTGAAACTAAAATTAGCAAAGAAGCCCTGTGGAATGGAAGGTGAGGGAAGGGTTAGTGAGAGTTGGGCAAGGAAATGCAGAAAACAAAAATAACATGCACGTCAGTTTCGCAGCAGTATAGAGTCTTAAAGGAAACAATGTTTGATAATTATCAGAGAGGAAACTGGGAGCATATCCCAGAATGGAGAACAGCATGGGTTAAAATGGGTAGGAACACGTGTCAGGGGCTTCAGAATTCGGGGTCATTGTTGAGTCCATTGCCCTTGGTCTTCAAGGACTATCTGCTCTTCACTCAATGATTATTGAAGCTCATTTCTTCCTGTCACCAGCACAAATCATACCTTCTTCATGTCAGACCTAAACTATTTCACTGGCCTTGCAACTGTCCTCTCTGCCTCTAAACTCTCTCCAGTCCCTCCTACATATCATCACCAATGCTTTGATAAGATTCCCAGAGCTTTGATTTTTATCAGGCAGTTCTCCTGATGATGATAAATGTATGGAAACTTCCCATTTCCTAGAGATAAAGTGCATGTTTCTCATTCTCAGAGGTAGGGAACATAATCACCTGATACCACTCACCTGCTTGTTTCTCACTCTTCCTCCACCATTTACCTATGTCTTTAGCTTAATGAGCCCCCTATGTGTCTCCTAACTAAACAGTGGCTTACTTGGCTGTGAAATATTCTTCTCCTTGGGTAGTCTGCTCCCTTCTCTGTCTACTCATGCTTCAAGATTCAACATAAGCCGCCTCTATGAGGCTTTCTGCACGAATGTATATGGATTTGCTTGTGAGATGATTTCTTCACAGATTTCATATTGCTGATGAATAAATATTGTTTTGAATAAGAAACGTGGTTTCGTCTTTTTATCTAGATTGTAGACTCCTTGAGACCAGTCCCATGCTATACAATTATTTTTCATCTATTATAGTGTCTGGCATAGGGACATGCACATATTTGGTACGGAATAGGGTTTCCGAGTCTGGCACGATGACATTTTGGGCTGGATAATTTGTTGTTGTGGCGGGTTGTCTGAACATTTTAGGATGTTTAGCAGCATCCTTGGTGCCTATCCACTAGATACCAGTAGTATCCTCTCCCTAGTGTGAGAACCAAAAATGTCTCCAGACATTTCCAAATTTCCACAGGGGTAAAAAGTACCCCCCAACTGAGAATTATTGATAGAGAATAAGCAGAATAAATTCCAATTAAGCAGTGAAAATATTTGAGTGATGGTTTACAGTATTTTGAAGTCTTGAGAAAGTGGAACTCAGTTGATGGAAAAGAGTAAATGTTAAACTGAGAACATCCTATTTGCTATGTTAGGGCATAGAAAGGCCATTATAGATTGAAAAGCAGTTGTAATGAATGTTAGGATTAAGAAAGATCAAGATACAGAAATATCCTTGAATTGAAGTCCCAAAACAATGTTGTTTTAGTTTTTGTTTCATTTTGAATCATTTCATACTTAGGAATACTATTTCTAGTAAAATAAATATTTTATGTTTAGTTAGAAATTTATCTGTATTTCGTACATACTTAGTACTTGTGGACTAAGAACTGCTATTTGACGTATATTTGAGAGATTGAGTTTGAAATTGTGGGTGCAGGACATTGTAAAGTTGTAACTATGAACAAATATCAGTTATGCTTATGCATAGTTTTACCTAGTTTTTCTTTTATTTGACTATTTGAGTATTGTCCTTGAATTTAAAATTCAGCCTCAACTGATACACACATCCACACATATACACACATAACACGTGTGTGTGTGTAGCTTACAGAATGTTTATAGGAAACTGATTTTGTATATTTTGGCTACTTTGTTGTAAATTCTCTTTTTTTTCTTTTATTATTAAACTAATACACGACATCAGTGCTATATGATTGGTGTTTCGCTGACCTATAAATAACGCATGCCATCTTCTTTTCACAGCTGTGTGCCAACCACGATGCAAACATGGTGACTGTATTGGGCCAAACAAGTGCAAGTGTCATCCTGGATATGCTGGAAAAACCTGCAATCAAGGTAGGAAAACAGGCTGACATAAATACACAATCAAATACACCTCTATTACTCCCAAATTAAAAATATTCTTATCTCAAACTACTTTCCCTAGCTATTTTTCCACAAATATGTGAGCTGCCATTTTGCTGATAAATAAAAATGTGTTAATGATAAATGTTGTAAAATTTTTTTTATCAAAGGACAATTAAACAAATTGTATCCTCTTATTCTCTGATACTAATTCAAATGTATTTTGAAGAAAAGAATCACTGCATCAGTAATTTAGAAGCCTTCTGGTACTCCTTGTTCTTCCACTAACTAGTTGGAAATCCTTGGCCAAATAATTAACCACCTCAGACCCCAGGTACTGCTTCCCTTTAATGCCAAAGTCAGGTAGGGGGTTTGATTTGAAATTTGGAGTTTCCTCCTAACTCTGAGCCCTTTGATTCTGTGATTAAATCTCCCTTCAACTACTGACCAGTTTGGAATGTTTCCATGATAAATAAAAACGATTAATTTAGCAAGCACTTTTTTTAAAACTCAGCATCAGTTGTTTATAAAAGCAAATATTTATTCAACACTCATAGTGCCGCAGGTATTTTATATATATTATCCATTTTTATCATTACAACAACATTAGGAAGTAGAGCATTATTTATTATAATTAAGGTATAATCTATTAATTGTTAATCCATTTTTTATTTGGAGAGACTGAAGGATAGAAATATTAAGTGTCTTGCTTAGGTTCACAGAGTTAGTAAAAGAGCTAGCATGTCAACTTAGAGCTATGGCCTATATAATCCATATTTTTTCTACTATATTAGTTTTGGATGAAAAAAATATATTTGGAAATGTGATCCTCAAACTCATGCTAACAAGTCAGACAAGGCTTGTCATGTTAATTAAATTCAGTAAAAGATTTCCATTATTGGCCGGGTGTGGTGGCTCACGTCTGTAATCCCAGAACTTTGGGAGGCCGAGACAGGCAGATCACCTGAGGTTGTGAGTTCAAGACCAGCCTGACCAACATGGAGAAACCCTGTCTCTACTAAAAATACAAAATTAGCTGTGTGTGGTGGCACACACTTGTAATCTCAGCTGCTCAAGAAGCTGAGGCAGGAGAACCACTTGAACCCGGGGGGCGGTGGTTGCGGTGAACTGAGATTGTACCATTGCACTCCAGCCTGGGCAACAAGAGCGAAACTCTGTCTCAAAAAAAGGAAAGAAAAATTTCATTATTAGGAATTAAACTAGAAATAAAGATTATGGTTAGATTTCACTAAACAGATAAGGGTCAAAAATAAAAAAGATGAGTCAGTTTTTACTTATTTCTTAAATTATACTCCCTATCATCTCAAATGTCAGGTGAAATAATGATATGGTGTCTAACTATCCCTTACATACTTACTTGACCTCATCTGATATAGAAATGATATTGCTGAAATACTACTGTTCTTCAGTGTCTGATACTTATTTCAAGATATTCCTTGAGGTATGTCATGTAAACTAGTGATTTATAGACACAGTTTTTTTTCACTATTTATTTTTATTTTTTAAATTTTACTTTAAGTTCTGGGATACATGTAGAGAACATGCAGCTTTGTTACAAAGGAATACATGTGCCATGGTGATTTGCTGCACCTATCAACCTGTCATCTAGGTTTTGAGCCCTGTATGCATTTATTTGTCCTAATGCTGTCCCTCCCTTTGCCCCCCGCCCCGACAGACAGTTGTGAAGTTCCCCTCCCTGTGTCCATGTGTTCTCATTGTTCAACTCTCACTTATGAGTGAGAACATGTGGTGTTTGGTTTTCTGTTCCTGTGTTAAGACACAGTTTTTGCAATCATCCAGAACGTTGATTTTTGAAAACATACTCAAAATGGTGGTTCATGAACCATCAGATGGAATTATTCATGAACCATCAGATGAAATCCACACTAGCAGAAATGACATGTCCCAATGGTAGAAGCTGCTATTCTAACGTGTGTTCTTGTATTATCTGCTATTTGATTTAGAACTGATTTTCCCAATGCTTGTTTTCTCTCTTATAATACTCTTTTTAACTTGAAATTTACCAAACATACCTGCATAATCTTTTTAAATAAATGATGCTCTTATTATCTCAGTTTGCTCTTTTAAAAACTCCACTTGATTTTTCTTCCCCAGCGTAAGTTTACAGGTAGCAGTGTGTTAGGTTCTGGTTATTGAATGCCAATGTTCATCTTAGAATCTCAGTATACTTCTTTTTTTTAAAGTGGTGAACATAAGCCCTCAGATGTTTCATTAATGTCAGCACTGTAAAATGTTGTTGTCCAAACGTGAGGATATAAAATATAAAGAAGACGATTAAAAGAAGTCACTTTTGAGATTGCAGAGAAATTCATTTACATTTCTTTGCAGGAGCTGCATCAACTTTAACATGCTTCAAAGACATGCTAAAACTATTATTGAAACAAGGGTTCATCACTGGATAGCTCTTATTTTCAGAAAACCAGTTTAACATGTACTTTTTTTTCTGTAACGCATACCTATTTCTCTAAAGAAAAAATCGAATATATCAAGTTAAAATCTTGTTCTCCAAAACCATATTCCTTAAAGAGAAGAGGATTTGATTAGTAGCAAAATGGGATTTTACACCTGCAAAAATAGTGCTGGCACTGAAAATGTAATTTCAAGTCCAGTTTTGAAAATAAAACTACAGCTTAAAATAAACTTAGGTGTTGTAATCATCTCTTATTTTGCCCTCCTCACAAAAAAAGCAGTGTGACAGGTTCCTGATGGCGAGGTTTATGCTCCTTGAGAGTAGAAGCCCTTTTTGTTGTCTCTCTGATTTCTAGGTTCCTGAAAACTATTATTAAAGTGACTTGCACATGGTAAATGCACGCTAAATATGTTAAATGAATGACAGTTTCATCTAATGGTTCTTAGTCCTGAACATCGTGGAAACTTGAAAGAGTTCCACAGGTTCTTGGTACAGCATCTTATAGAGTCTCCGCATCCATACACTGAGGTCCCTGTCAGGATAAGGGAAGCTGCCGTGTGTGGCCTGGTTGAGTGTGAGAGCTGCCTAGAGACTCCCATAAAAGTTGTTAGAGAAAGTGGTTGATAGTGCCTACATAGCAGATTAACTTAGACTGTTTTCATTCAGGCCCACGCATTTTAATAAAGTAGAAAATATGCTTCACAGATAAGGGAAATCAAAGAGGCTCCTTTTTTCTCGAGGAGAGAAATGTCAAAAGGAAGTAAATTTGAAATAACTTTACAGAACTGAAAATTAGCTTTTGTTTAAAAGTAGCTTTTGGTATATGACAAGTTTTCACTGAGAATTTTGTAGCGAGTTATGTGCTTTAAGAAATAACCCCCTGGAAACTTGAATCATGGCCTAAAACAGCTTGAACAAACAAGTGCTTAACCAGTGCCTTTAGAGCTGCCTGGGAAATAGCCAGAATACCAGGGCAAGGTGCATTTTGGAACGGGTTTAATTTAGCAGCCTTGCCACTGGCTTAATGTGATCTGCTTTTGGTGGCTTGCTCTTCCCCACTAAGTCATTTTCTGGAATTGTTACACCTAGAACTGTTATGAAATTACAGGCTTGGACTGATCATTAACATATTCTGTAAGGCAAATGTTACTTTTCAAAGCAGATGAAGTTCTAACCCGAATTCTGGCAAGATTCTCTTCGATCATTTGCTTCCTTTACTTTTACTTTTATTTATGCATATTTCCCTCCTCCTTGAGTTTCTGTACCAATACAAACCTCTTTTTCCCCCAGCCAGAAAAAAAAAATATTATTATAGGTAATAATCTTTTTATAACTTTTCCATTGGGGAGTGATTTTTAGTATGTAAATATATCATTGCATATTCTCAGAAATGAAAGACATTCTTAGGAATTTACAGTCTACTTTGTAATAATTTCAGAAGAAAATATTTACAAATGTCAATTCCTAATGTTTTAGTATGGTTTATGTTTCATATGTTGAATTCTTTATCATAAGGAAAGAATTAGAGTCTTGTAGGTCAGAACCAGACACTTATTTGTGGACTAGTTACATCTGAAAGTTGATTGCTTTGCTAAGCACAAAAATCTAAGGGCTTTAACCCTAATATTAAGGTGGTTACCTACAGCCTTAGTTTTTGAAAGATGTATGGTTCCTGCCGGGCGCGGTGGCTCATGCCTGTAATGCCAGCACTTTGGGAGGCCTAGGCGGGCGGACCACGAGGTCAGGGGATTGAGACCATCCTGGCTAACACGGTGAAGCCCCATCTCTACTAAAAATACAAAAAAAAAAAAAAAAAAAAAAAAAGGCAGGCGTGTGGCAGGCGCCTGTAGTCCCAGCTACTCCAGAGGCTGAGTCAGGAGAATGGCGTGAACCCCGGAGGCGGAGCTTGCAGTGAGCTGAGATCTCGCCACTGCACTCCAGCCTGGGCGACAGAGTGAGACTCCGTCTCAAAAAAAATGGAAGATGTATAGTTTCAACTCCCAAAACCAATGTTCATTTGATCTGGACATTTAACTGGCGGTTAATAACGTAATGGTGTTGAAAGAGACGTGATTGTTAAGTCTCAACTCTCTACTTTGAGTCTCACCCATCTTATATTTTGGTAAACGAATAATGGCAACAGGTAACTTTTTTTTTTATTTTTTGCATAAAGCTTCTTATGTATGTTCTAGAAACATAATTTCCTACATTTAAATGATAATATTGACGATCTATTATGCTCTTATGTAAATAAAATCTTTATGCAAATCATACATTTGTTCATAATTTTGGAGTATTTTAAACTACTATTGTACAACGTGATAATGTAGGGAAAAAAATCTTAAGTTGGTCGTTTAAGACTTCAGTGACCTTAAATAGAGTAGGTGGATTATAATCAATATTTTTATAATTTGTTCTTTGTTTTCTTCCTTCCGTTTATGACTAAATAATACTTTTTTAAATGATGATCTCTTATTTGGAGTTCTTAAAAAAATTGTATGACAATGGATTGCTCATTTATAATGTGTGTGTTGTCCTTGGGAAACAAGATGACAGTGATGCATTTTTAAGAAAATTAAAATAAAGGAAAAGAGAAACCAGAAGAACCATAAAATAAACTATTGTTTATAAAGTATCTAATGCATTCTTTTTAAACTCTACCAACTGTATGTAATTGTTTAATATATACTTGTAAAGATTTTTAGGGCTAAAATTGACATCAGTTCAAAGTTGACTCTTATTACCTTCTTCCTGGTATGAAGACGAGCACATCCCAACGCCTCTTGACCAAGGCAGTGAACAGCCTCTTTTCCAACCCCTGGATCACCAAGCTACAAGTTTGCCTTCAAGGGGTGAGCGTGTATTGTCCCAGGTGGTCTGCTTTTCCCACCTGCATGGCTTCCTGCAGTTATGTCACTTCTTGCAAATGTTCTGAAGACTAGCCCAGGAGTGTCCAGCCTTCAGCCCTGAGCATGTACAGCAAGCAGCAGGAATTGCCATCTGGTGCTGATTCTCTGTGCTCTGAAAAGCATGGAGCTCTACTGTCCTTTTAATGCATCGAGTATCATTGCTTTTCTTTTTCTTTTCTGAATTTTGAAATATTTTGTAAAAATCAGATAGCAAAACAACTTTTTTCATATGAAGGCAAACTGAGGAGTTCCAAAGCAACTGAAATTGGGGGTTTGATGCCCTTTGTCAAGTAGATTTTAGAAATCAAGTCCTCTTCCCCACTCTCGAGGTATAGAGTTTTAGGTTACCTGAAAATCAAAGTATACATTAGTAACCTTCTTTTGGTATACATTGTGTAACATCAGATAGCCTAAGTTCTGATTCCAAGATGGCATTTAGTTGCTATTTGATTATAAGCAAGTCATTAACCAATCAGTAACAGGGAGACAGTAATTCCTGCCCTATTTGCCTGTGGGGTTGGTGTAAGAATAGAAACACCGAAAATATTAATGTCTTCATCATGCTGGAAAGCTTGTAGGAAAATAATGTGTAGCATAATTTTACAGTTCCTCTTCTAGGATATTTTATCTGTAACCCATTCATAGGTTTAAGAACTTAGAATAACTGAATTAAAATAGTTGAAATTATTAATCATTGTCTCTGCTGAGAGGAAATTTGATGCTTTTGTATATTTTCTGCATAAGGAATTAGGGCAAAAGAATTAATTTCAGTCCTTAGTAATTAAAAAAATAAAGTTATGGTAGTTGACATATTGACATGTTTGCCTATGACTGCCTGATTTTAGCACCAAGGTGGAGAGAAAGTCCAAATGTGTTAAATGAAAGTTTATGTAAAAAAAAAAAAAAAATCCATTGAGCTAGTTATCTTACTCAATGATCTCTTCTGAAGTTTTCAAGCTACTTTTCAGTGTCTGCATGCTAATAAAATTTCTGATTTTTTTCCTGAAGTTTAATAATAATGCTATGCAGCTTGCATTTCCATTCTGGACCAGTTCCCTTCTCCTTCTCCTTCTCCCATCCAAACTCCTGAATCCACCAACCTACTGAAATGTATTCCTGACAATAATAGATGCACTTTAAGACTTGTATACATAATAATTGAAGCACTATGAATGTAAGTGGCTTATTGTAAAGTTCTATCCTTTAGTATAAGATAAGCACATGAAAGAATTCATTACATTTTTTAATTTTCCTATTTGATAGATTTTCCTTATATATATTGTAAACCTCTAGAGAAAAAGGAATATAAGTAAATTTACAATAAAAACACCAAAGTTTTATTTCCAGGTTCTCTTATCAACTTTTAAGATTTATTTGAGATAGTATGATCAATGACTTCATTTTGTTCTGCTTCTTATTGTAGGAGTATTTACTATAATTTGGAAGTAATGTATTTTTTAATTTCTTGCTTAATTGAAGAATATCCAATAGATTGTGATAATGAATACAGCATTTATAGAAAGCAACACATATTAACTTACTTAATATGACACTAGTTCAATGAGAAAAGAAGGTAACATAATTAAAGACAAGAAACTCTTAAGAAAACTGAGGACAAAAAGGCTTCTTACCAGGACACCAGATGCATTTAATCTTTTGAAGCTCTGTACTTTAGGAAAAGTCTGATCTTTGGCAAATTTTGATAAACATGGATGACTGTGGAATCTTATAGTATCTGAAGTGGTTTTCATAAGGGTCATTGTGAAGTTTTAGGAGACACCTGCCTGTGGCAGATGGGGCAGTGATGGCAGTCACTAGGGATATTCACAACAGTCAGCTGTCAGGGCATGTCATCCAGACCATCAACAGCTGGTGGAGTACAGCTTTCTCAATTGCTTTCCATGTTTTGGATACTCATATGCCCGTTAATAACAGGTAAAATAGCCAATATATGTCCACATTTACCATTGAATGTTACATGTATTCTTCCTTTCTCATATTATTTCATACAGTCCAGATTTTTTTAGACTCATGACAGCATATTGGCTTTTCTTTCCTTTCAGTTTCGTGATTCTTAACCCCAAAGTGCTTTTGCTATGGGAACAGAAGGATAGAGTAGGGTTGAAGCCATTCTCTAAACCACCAGCAGCTCCAGTCCAGATTATGAATACTACCATAGCAATCCTAAGGGGCCCTTTATTGGCCCAGACTGGAGCCAAATTGTAGAAGAGCTGCCCCAACTGGGCTTCAGGTTTAGTTCATGGACATAGTGTCTGAAGAAATTTCCATCAGCGTAATTATTCCTTGTTTATGAGCTGCCTGGAACTGTAAACACCTAATCCATTCCCATCAGGAACTCACAACAGTTTCTGTCACGCTCTGAAAATAAACATAGGGATTCTTAACTGACACATAAATAAAAATCCATCAATATCCTTTTCTTGAGATATAGGTTTTGATTTTACTGTGTTATTTTGTAGTTTTGTTCTATTTTTGTTTAGTGCAGAAAAAATATTTGAAACACAAAGCCTTTCTCTAATGCCATATTTGATTTTAAATGCTATTTACTATAATATCAAAAAGATTTATCAAAGACAGGTGTGACTCTGCAGGAACATATTAGGAATAGTCGTTAATTCCTCTTAAAAGATGAGAAAAGATTCCCTCTCATTTTTAGTAAATACTGAAATGCAAAGTAGAAGAATATGGGAAGGGTAGAAAATTTATTTCTCAGTCATTCTTCCTTGATTCTTGCTTCAATTAACAGAGGGAGAAAACATTTTTGATACTGTAATCTGCATGGCACTTTCTATGAGGAAATTTTTTTTGAAATATTTTAGAATGTGATTTTGTTTTAAAAACCCTTAACTAGTCAAGAGACTACATAAAGTAGAAATTTGAAGAAAGCATAGGAGATGACAAAAGTTTTTGGTTTATTTAACCTTTCCAGGATTTGCCCAGCTGGGGGTCTGCTTACAGTTGCATTCAGGGCAGAAAAAAGACCTACTTGGAAGATCAGTAAGATATGAAAATTTTTTTAGCTGTGATAATTATTTGGTGGTTTTAAAACATAATGGAACTTGGTGATTTAGTTAAGTGAAATATACAGATTTCAAATAAATGAGCAGATCAGATTGAAATAGATTAGATTTGAAAACAATTTTGCAACTAGATAAATTATATTTCTTATTCAATGACATGGATTAATAGATAATTAAATTATGCTAATTGGGTACTTATGCTGGTGGTTCCAGACAAACATGTGGTCACATTTCTTTTTAATGAAACATATTTCAGGCATTACTATTTCAATGTTTATTTGTCATTATGAGTTTTATGTTCACTTGAGGCAGTGTTTAATTTAGGTTAAAACCTTTTTATAATGTGAAATTTATTAATTCATTTCATATTGGTACTTAAACCAATAAACCTAAAATACATGATAGTCTATTACGTTTTGTCCATTAGTATTTCCATATGCCTTTCTTAACTGTGGAATAAGTGAAAATATGTTGGTGGGTGTTTTAAAGTTCATTTTGTGACTTGAATGCATTACTAAAGCAGGAAACTGAAGTTTCTTCTTTAATCTGAAATCATATAAAATCTACCAGATTGCACAAGAAAAACTACAATAGTGATCACTCTTAATTTATTTCTTTCTTATCCTCTGAAAATATAGCCTATGTAGCCTTCCCTTGGGAAGTCAAAGCAGTCAAATGTTTTCAAATCTGTATACTTCCTATAAAGTAAAACATTCTCATGTAATATGTTCTTTAAACAGAGAAAGGAAGACATTGAACGAATAGGGTTACATTGTCAGGATTAAATCTAGCAATAGAACCCAGATATTTTAAGAATGTTGGCAAACAGATGGTAGCTGATAGAGCACCTCTGCCCATGAGGAGGTTAGTATGCTGCTGTTTCTAGGGATGATAAGGTAGGCACCTGTTGTTGAGAATTTTCCTAACTGGCCTTTATAAACAGAAATCCATAAAGGTCATGGCGACTCCTGGTTGCCCCTAGTGTAACCAACCTTCAAATTAATATTGTATGAACATTCTCTATCTCTTATGTAAATGATAGTTACTGTAGCTTGACCTATTTTTCTCTTTCATTTTTTAATATAGAAAAGAATTTTAAATGGTTTACATTAGTGCTGAGGTTTTGTAATTTTTCTGCTTCGACCCACATTGTTTTCAGATCTAAATGAGTGTGGCCTGAAGCCTCGGCCCTGTAAGCACAGGTGCATGAACACTTATGGCAGCTACAAGTGCTACTGTCTCAACGGATATATGCTCATGCCGGATGGTTCCTGCTCAAGTATGTCAAGAATCTTAACTGTTTTAAAAGTGCTTTGGGCTTGTTTCTGTTGTGCTCTGGGAGCTTGCTTTTGTGAAAGTGGCCTCCAGGGTTCTGCTAAACAAGATGTGTGCATGTGTTTATATATGTGCCTAAGGAACTGAAAATCAAAATTAGTGGCACTATTTTCGATGTATAATATTCTTCTATCATGGGTGCCAATATTAAATTGGTTAGGAAATGGTATTTAGATCAAGAATTACAAAACTAAGTATGTTTTCTAATTTTTTTTTTTAAACATGTTTACCCCTGTCTTCTATCTGGGCATAGAAGAATGATTCCAGGTTAAAAAAAGAAAAAGAAAAAAAAAAGAACACTACTGACTATTTAGGGACTGCTCAGACAGAATCCATCAGGTCTGTTTTGTGATTTTAAATCATTCATAAATACTTTCTTACTTAATTTTTATATTTCATTATAAAGGCCTTTAGGCTTTTATAGAATTTTAGACTTTAATAATAGTCTAAGACTTCTAGAAAACAATTTCAAATAAAAAATAAATGAATATGATACCAGAAAAGTAGAATTCATGTATATCTTTGTAAGGAAGAAATGTGTGTTTTCTACCATTTGGATGTATAAGATGGATACATTAGATTTGAAAACAATTTTGTAACTAGACATATTATTGTGTGGAACCACCAGCATAAGTACCCAATTAGCATAATTTAATTATCTATTAATCCATGTCATTGAATAAGAAATATACATAATATGTCTAATATGCTCTAAAATTCTCTACAGGATGATCATTGAATTGAGGTATTCATATGATATCCAACAATTAATGACTTGATTTTTATTTTTACTGAATTATCATTTAACTGAGTTGCATAGAATAAAAATAGTTAGCTAATTTTATTTAACATTGCGTAAGTGTAGCACGGAACTTTTTGGAATGAGGTGAATACATGTTTAACATTGTGCAACTCAGTGGGAAATCTGCTGTTCCCCTAGAGAAATTTCATGGGCAGTTGAGACAGTTACTTGGATGTTTAGTTAAGAATAGCACTTAGCTTGAGTACTCTGGAGAAATACCTCAATTCTTCACTTTCCTTGGCCACTGGAAAAATTTCCAGATAATCTATGCACAATAGTTTTATATTTGTCTTTTAATGCTTTCTTTCCTTTCCTCTTTTACTTTCTTTGGATGTTTGATAGTTAAGGCCTCTTTGTATTCCTTGTTGTTCAGTGTCACTGATTTCAGGACAAGTGAAAAAATATAGCTATTTCCTTTACAGATTTTGTTTTCTACCTGTCTGAGTCAGCCAGTCACTCTCTTTCCAGGTGCCCTGACCTGCTCCATGGCAAACTGTCAGTATGGCTGTGATGTTGTTAAAGGACAAATACGGTGCCAGTGCCCCTCCCCTGGCCTGCAGCTGGCTCCTGATGGGAGGACCTGTGTAGGTGAGTTGTAAAATCAAGCATCTCTGTCAGCAGCCTCTATAGGATAAAGGGAGAAAGTGAAAAGTGATGGGAGTAAGGAAAAAAAGGCAATTGCTTATGTCAGGTAATTAACTATCTTTCAGAAGATGTCAGATGTCTCAGAAGAGGACATCTCTGTGAATGGATAATGGGAGCCTTATTGTTTTTAAAATGAGAAATAGGAGGAGGCCTCAGGCAGAGGGAACCCTATGTGCAAAGGCACTGCAGTTCAGAGAAGCACAATAGTTAGGGAAACAGTATTCCTAGAATGTAAGCGGCAAGTGTGAGCAATGAGTGATGAAGCTGAACAGGTAGACAGGGCTAGATTGTATGTGTTGTACTTCCAGCCTCAGATTTTTTTCTGGTGAATTAGGAAGACAGTGTAGGATTGAGAGTCTGGACTCTTCCATATACTAGATATGTAACCTTAGGCAAGAGACTTTGTTTCTTTGAGCTTGGGTCTTCTTATCTTTAAAATGGAAATAACACCACATGGAACTGGTAGGAAGATTGAATGAGATCGTGGATGCAAAGAATTTAGCACAATACCTAGCGTGTAATAATCCTTGAATGAATGGAAGTGTTTGGTGATTAGAGATATTTACTGAGTACTTTCTATACTCCAGACACTGTGCTGAGTGCTAGGATGTATAGCAGTGGACTAAACAGACAAGATTTTGATCCCCACAAAGCTGACATGCTAACAGGGGAGACAGAAGAGAAATAAATACCCCATAAAATTACAGACAATGCCAAGTGTTAACATGAGGTATTGAGAGAAAAACAGAACATGTCTATTAGCCTTAAGGTAAGACCTGTATCATTAGCCATGTGAAGAAACAGCCAAGCAGCTGAAGAGATTGCAGGGCACTGCGGTGAGAGAGAGGTTGGCCTATGTGAGGTTTTTCAAAGAAGGCCCATGTAGCTCAATTACGGGGTGTGAGTATGAGGAGTGGTGGCTTGAGATATAATGGGTGAAGTAGGTGAGGGTGATTTGTTGCAGGGCCTTCAAGGACATGGAGGAGGAATGTGGATTTAATTCAAAGTGCAAGTAGAAATAGTTAAAAGGTTTTGAGCATAGTAATGATCTGATTGTATGTTTTAATGGAATCATTTTGACAGTTGGGTTGGAAATGCTTTGGAGGGGTTAAGTTTTGAGGCTTACCCCCTCAAAAGAAGCAGTTTTGAGGCTTTTGTAACGGTCTAACCCAGGAGATGGTGGCTTCAAATAGGGTAGTGATGGTGGATTAAGAGAAAAGTAGACAGAATCAAATAATTTTTTTAGAGGTAGAATTAACTGGACTTAATGATTTGGGAGTTAAAGGAAAGAGGGTTGTTTCTAGTTCAAGAATGACTCAAGTTTCTAGTTTAAGCAAGTTGGTAGATATAGGTGCAGTATGTGCTAATATATGGGATGCAAGAAAATAATAACTTGGCTTAGAAGGATGAGTTGAAATCTGGATATGTGGAATTTATGTTGCCTATAGGGGCAACCAGCTGGATACCATTTATGACGAGCTACTAGATGCCAGGCAACCGTTTGTAGTCAGTTATTTATTTTGAAACCCACTCTGTCTTAACATGCCCTTGCTCTTCCTAAAATGCTATTGACTTATGTTTCTAGATGTTGATGAATGTGCTACAGGAAGATCCTCCTGCCCTAGGTTTAGGCAATGTGTCAACACTTTTGGGAGCTACATCTGCAAGTGTCATAAAGGCTTCGATCTCATGTATATTGGAGGCAAATACCAATGTCATGGTAATGAAACCCAACCATTGCTTTGTGTTGTTTCTTCCTAGAGCGCTGAAAGATCTTGTAATTGTGGTGATGGCTGGAATGTCAGGGGCAGGGGAGAGTACTGGCATTAAGTTGAACAAACCAACAGACATCCAATTCAACCGCTGGTAGTTCCCAGTCTACATATACTTTATTTCTTATGTTTATCTGCCAATTTTATGTAGATCATCACATTGCCCAAAAAAATCATTTTTGAAACTGTATGTATTTTTCATGTCATCATATTTATCTCCTAAATAAGCCTCTTCTTTTCCTACTTTCTGATGCAGACATAGATGAATGCTCACTTGGTCAGTATCAGTGCAGCAGCTTTGCTCGATGTTATAACATACATGGGTCCTACAAGTGCAAATGTAAAGAAGGATACCAGGGCGATGGACTGACTTGTGTGTGTGAGTAGCACTTATCTCTCAGCTTTAAATTCTAGCAGGAAATACAGGATTACACAAAGGCCATTGCTAGGGAAGATAAGGAATAAGATTATCAAAGAAGTATAATCGCCATAATTGGTTATATTTGTCTGTGATTTCCACAAACAATAAAATCACTTGCTCAGGTACTTGTAAAAACTAAGGACTCAGTAATACACCATAATCTTAAGAGTATTTGAATCTCTTCACTGAAATCTCTCAATATTTTTTTTAAGCTAAAAAGAAATTATAGAGTCCTCCCTGAGAATTTGCTTTTGTTAAAATCAGAAATATATGTTTGCCATTAGCATTAGATTTTGATGGTGGGATAATCTGGATATATTCTACATTTTTCCCTCTGTTTTATGCCTCCTAACTCTACTATTAAAAAAATCATTCCCGGCCAGGCACGGTGGCTCATGCCTATAATTCTAGCACTTTCGGAGGCCATAGTGGCAGGATTGTTCGAGACTAGGAGTTCAAGACCAGCCTAGGCAACATAATGAGACCCGTCTCTACAAAAAAAAATTTAAAAATTAGCCAGGTGCAGTGCACGTACCTATAGTCCCAGCTTCTCAGGAGGCTGAGGTAATAGGCTCACTTGAGCCTGGGATCTTAAGACTGCCATGAGCCCAGTGAGCTGTGACCGTGCCACTGCACTCCAGCTTGGGCAAGAGAGCGAGACCCTGTCTCAAAAGAAAAAAAAAAGTCATTCCCTTATTTATTTCCTCTACATTCAGAACTGTTTTGCTTTTAAATGTTTTAAAAGTTTTATTTGGAGTAGTGGTTATGTAGTAGATAAACATGAAAAAGCCCAAAAGTCATAATTTAACACACATTTCATGTGACAGAAGATAATTTTTTAAATTTCCTGAGTAAAATATTTACTGAAAACCATGGTGCATAAAATCATGGGGATTAAAGGGTTTTTAAAGAGTCATGTAGTCATTCCCAGTCTGGAGTATATCATTCCAGGCAGATTAAATATTGATTCTTTTTGGTGAAGATTATCCAGGAAAAAGATGCCACAGATGATCTTTGCAACCTCTGAAAATGTCTTTTTAAAAGCAGTTGTATCTATCAGTAAAGGGGAAGAAAAACCAACCATAAAACAATATGTAGAACATTTACTCAAACTATATTTATGCAAATTGAATTTATATAAAGTGTGGATAAGAAAAGTATTTGTCTTTAGACAATTCTAAACACACTTTTATAATATACATGTAGCATAGGGATACAGCATAGATTCTAACTATGCATTTCTTATGTTAAAAAAACTTAGAATGTCTCTGCATTTTAAAAATTTTCATTAGTTGTTGTCTGTTTCCACTGCACAAATATTTAAAACGTTTTTATGTTGCAAATAATACATATTCTTTATGGAAACACACCAATATATTTGTTACGTACATGCAAAGGATGAATATATGTATATATATGAATACGTATGTATGTGTTTTATACACACACACACACACACACATTTGTTATTTGGAAACTAGTATGACTTACGGTAGGTAATATTCTAAATTTCAAAAATGATACTAGTTGTCATGAGATGTTTTTATGTGTCTGTCAGTATAATGCTTCACTTTTTAGGGAGGAATGGTTACATACTAATTTAAGTCTTTGACTCTTTCAGATATCCCAAAAGTTATGATTGAACCTTCGGGTCCAATTCATGTACCAAAGGGAAATGGTACCATTTTAAAAGGTGACGGAGGACATAATAATAGGATTCCTGATGTTGGAAGTACTTGGTGGCCTCCGAAGACAGCATATATTCCTCCTATCATTACCAACAGGCCTACTTCTAAGCCGACAACAAGACCTACACCAAAGCCAACACCACTTCCTACACCACCACCACCCCAGCCAACAGAGCTCAGAACACCTCTACCAGCTACAACCCCAGAAAGGCCAACCACCAGACTGACAACTATAGCGCCAGCTGCCAGTACACCTCCAGGAGGGATTACAGTTGACAACAGGGTACAGATAGATCCTCAGAAACCCAGAGGAGATGTGTTCAGTAAGTCTAATATGTTAGCACATTTTCAATAGGCTCATTTATAATGACTTTTCAACCACAGGCCATGCCTTGAATAAGAATGAAACTTGTAAGAAGAACTAGCTATGTAAAGTCATATGTCCCTATTGACAAATATTATAAAGAGCTGCAAAAAGAGTCAGTCTAATTGGGCAAGTAAAAATGTATGTAGCAACGGAAAGAATATCACAAAGTCATACAGTAGATGACAGCTCTTAGCCAGTATGGGAATTCTGACATAGTTGGATTTACTTGAAAACTCTCAGAGGTGGGGAACTTAACTGTATTCCATGCTGTGTTACTTTTAATCTAACCCTTCATTCATTCAGTCAGTGAACATTTTTGAATGTCTTTAGAGTGTCAAGGAGGCCTTGTATTAGCCATTGGGTTTATGTAAAGATAAAACAGAAAAGGTCACAGTCTGGTGGGAAAGATGGTTACTCAGAAGATACCAGTGGTAGTATGTTAGTGAAAGAGATCTGTGTAGGACACTATGGGAGGAGAATGAAGGGATACCTCATCAGTCTTTGGGTAGGCAATATTCAGGGAGGGCGTCCCGAGTGAAATGGGGTGAAGTGGATGAGGAAAGGGAGATAGTATAGTTAACGGGGACAGCCCAACAAATGCAAAGAAGTAGAAAGCAGTGTAACAGGCAGTAGACTGCCAGTAAATTGGTGGGTCATGTCAGGGACAGATGAGAGAAGCTGGACAGCTACCCCTTGGATTGCTGTAAACTAGTGGTTAGACCTACACTGGGGCTGGATTAGATCAAAGACTCCCAGATTCTTAGCAGGTGACTAGGTAAAGGGTAGCACCACCAATGGAGATAGAGGATTCAGGAAGAGAAGCGAGTTTTGAAGGAGGAAAAAAGTTAATTTATTACCAGACCAAAATTTGCATTTTATAACTTTCATCTGTTCCTCATATTTATCTGTTTGTCCTGTGTCAGTTCGCTTATTCTTAGTTACCTTTGCATTCACTCTGCCTGTCTCCTCCTTTATACATTACCAGTTTATTTTGTTCCTTTTCTCATTCCTCCATGATGAAGCTAAAGTTTGTGCCTTTTATGTTAATACCTTTATAACTTTTTATCAGGTGATAAAATACTGACATTTATTATTATTTAAAGGGGAAAATTAAGCTGGCGTGGCAGCTCACACCTATAATCCCGGCACTTTGGGAGACTGAGGCGGACCGATTGTTTAAGCCTGGGAGGTTGAGGCTGCAGTAAGCTGTGACCGTGCCACTGCACTGCAGCTTGGGTGACAGAGTGGGATGCCGTCTCAAGAAAATGAATAAATAAATACTAAATAAGGGGATATTAGAGCTGAATTTTGCTTGTATGTGATTTCAATTAAATTACTCCTCTGGGTAATTGTCCATTTAAAGAAAGATCAAGATTCTCTAATTCTGATATAGTCGTGTATGTTTTGGATAATCAATATAATTTTTAGGGGAATTAGATGGTAGTTCTCAAAATATACATTTTATATGTGCATAACTATTTTCTGAAATTTATATTTTTGTAATTTTCTTCTCGCCCCCTCTCTGCATCTCAGATATTGTCTTTTTCTCCCTATTACTCTCTTTTTAAATTCTCATCTCATTGTGATCATACAATGGGATTTTTATTTATGAGTGCTTAAGTAATTACGGTATTTATATTATTTTGCTGCCTTAGGATAACAGGGAAACTTGACTATTTAATGTAAGATGATTTGCTAAATATTTTTTTCATTATGATGAAAGAATACGTCTTTCTGAGAATTTAAAAAAATGCTTTCTCTTTTTAAAATGTTTCTCTTTATTTCCAGTATTCCTCTCTATGCCAATACATAAAAATGACGTTGAAGTTCACCAGTAAAATTTAGTTCAATAAAATTGGGGAAATATAGAGTTCCAATGATGTTTGGGAGCATTCATTATAAGAGAGTGTGATCTTAAAGACATGCTCTGGGAAAGGATTGCCTTGATCAAATGCCAAGGCTGTTGCATGCCACAGATAGCATTGCTGCCTTTAGAAACTCCTGCCAAAAATTAAATTCCACTCTTATTTCATCTTCAGCAATAGCTGCTTATTAAGTCTAGCATGTGTGAGAATGCTTTAGATGCTTTTTGACTTGCTGTCTCGTGGTTATAGCGTATATTCTAAAAAAGGCAAGGGCACTAAGTTTTTAATTCAGGACAAATAACCAGTGTCTATTCACTGTGAAAACAGAAAGGAACCTTAGCACTATTGCAGTTCAACACCATTTCTTTACTGAACATTTTCTTCACTTCTGGCATAAATTCTTAAACCATCCTTATTCTCCACAGGTCTGGGAACAGAATTTAGCTCACTTCATCTCATAAATTTTTAGGTGATGTGAATTATGGCCACTATTTGACAGTCTCCTTCAAATAACCCTCTACTTTAATTGTGTTTTTCTTTACATTGAAAGATATTTTTAAATTCTAATTTTTAATTGACATAATAATATATTTATGGGGTATGAAAGATTCCTTTTAATGGAAGAGGTTGTGAAAGAGAGCTTTTCCTTATAATGTATGTGCGTTGTCGCCCTGATAAAAGACTGTAAAGATATTCTAAAAGAAAATCAAGGAAGAAAAACATTACAAGAAGAACACATCTTCAGCCCAGACCTCTCCCCCAAACTCTAGACCTGTATATCAGCTGACTGCTTAACTTATCCAGTTGGATGAAAATAGACATCTCAAACTCAACATGTATAGAATTGTTCCTCTTCTTCCCTTAAACGTGCTCTACTCTCAGCCTTTCTTATCCCAGGTAATGGGACCTCCATCACCTGTTGCTAAGGTCTGATAATGTGGATTCATCCTTAATTACTCTTTTCATACATACATCCAATATGTAAGGAAATCCTTTTAGCTCTACCTTCAAATTATATTTAAGTATGACCATTTCTCACCACCTCCAATGCTACTACCCTGGCCCAAGTCATCTGTCCCCTGGGGTACAGGTCCAAAATCCTTTATCCAAATGACTTGTGGAATACAGCATTTTTTAGATTTCAGAAAATCAATAAGGTACATATACTATATAGTACACACTGAAGTAGTGAAACATACTGATTTTTCTCTAGTGTTTTTACTGTGAACATACCAATGTTAAAGAAAGGAAAATGATATTAACTCAGAGGTGATGTCTCACAGCATATATTTACTAGCTTGCACAAATTTTTTAATGTTAGCAAGATTTAAGGCAAATTTTTTATTTATATTTTAATTGGATTCTATGATGATTATTAAAGAAAAAAAGTAGCTATCTCTAGAAAGTATAAATTGAGCTCTTGGCAAATGTGACCAAAATCAGAAATCAGATTTTTAAATAAAGTTACGTATACATTTGTCTAGAGTTACAATTAAAAGTATTGTGCTCATAGCCAGTCTGTGATCTGTGGCATATTATTATATCTTCCTATACCTTAAAACAATGTTTCCTGTAAGTATAAACAAAGTACCATTGACACTGGAGGTTTTGTCCATTTGCTACTTCCAGAAGAAAGGGGTACAAAACAGAAAAGTTATTTAAACTTTAAGCAGTTGGTTAGATGTGGTAGTTATAATGGACTTTTGGTATTTTAATATGGGGCCTAAAAATTTCCATCTAAACCAACATTAATTATCTAAGTGTGATATCCTTATGAGGTCTTTGTTAAATCCTCCCAATTATATCCAGCATCTCCAAAGGTGACTGAGGTCCCTTCTAATAACTCATCCCACCATTGGAGCAGTCTTCCTTATATTTAACCTAAATTTATGAAACTACAGTTTATGCCTTTTTAATATTGTCAGATATTCAAGATTAATGGACACAGTTGTTCACTGTCCCCAGCTCCCAGACTACATGTACTCAAAGACACTTTCAGGAAATGACTCACTCTTTCTTCACTGGGCCCAATAATTTATATTTTATTAATCTTTTCTTAGAAATGCTGTTTTTCAACCCACCTAACAATCTTTTTGGCTGGTCCTTTGAACATTATTTTCCAAATCTGTCACAAATGATGGCATCAAAGATACATGATAGTCAAATCTGACCCAATACTGATCACAGGGTGGGTGTCTTTTAACATGGTTTGTAATCTAAATCATTTCTCTTTGTTGCAAAGTAGAGATTTATGGGCAGCTATTTAATCTCCAGATGTTTTTTTCCTCAAATGGTCACATAGTGGGCACGCAAAAATATTTGTTGAATGGAATGGAATGGAATTTTATATTGGATTTAATCTTTTTAATTCTAAGTAATCCTTCATATGCTTAACTAGCTAAATTTTACTCGTTGGTTCTGATAGTCCTTCCCCAAATAATCAAAGTTAATTCAGATTATGGTTTTTTTCTTATGTTGTTATAGCTTAATATAGCCATTGAAAATAAACAATCTCTAGAAAATTCTAAGTCTAATATACTTCTAAATTTTAAGCATGACACTGAGAAATAGTGAAAAAGCATAGAAAAGGAATATGAAAATAGCATTGAAACATTTGGAATTGAGGGGTTTTAACTACTACTAAAGATAGAATATACTGAATCAGAAAACCTAGTCTTGATTTTCACCTCTATTTATGAGGTACGTGACTTTGGACTAGTATGAGTATTTATGAGGTACGTGTCTTTGGAAGACTTACTGTGCTTTCCACCTCAATTTTTTCTCTGTAAAATGGAGGGAATATTTCTAGCTTTCCCTTTCTCATAGAGTAGCTTCAAAGATCAGAGATAAGGGATCTAGTGTTTGTGAAATCTGAGTTAATATGAAATGTAAAAGATTACTGTGTTTTGTTTATCACTGTAAATAACCTTGATGGGGAGAACTTAATATGTGATTAAGGTTGCAACTTTTTATGTGTGATATGAAATATTAAACACATTTTTAAAATAATTCTTTTTGAGACAGGGTCTCACTCTGTCACCCAGGCTGCTGCAGCTTCAGTCTCTCAGGCTCAAGGGATCCTCCTGCCTCA